TCTGGCATTTCTCACTCCATATATGGTAAAAGTCTTTGTTGTAGAATTCCAGGTCTACCTGAAGATCTATCTCAATATCTTCCTGAATGTCCAGGACTTGGGATAGCTTGCAAAGCTTAAAAGCGATACAACTTTAAAAATTATATTGTACAAAAATTTAAAATATAATTTAATTCAATTTAATACAAATATAATAAAATTTAACTAACTATAGAATGATATCTAACAATATAATAAATCTAGAATATTGCAGACAGACAGCATCATGCAGTGTTTGAGTGCTGGACATGGACTCTGGATTCGAATTCCCACTCAGTCATGGAAACCCGCTGGGCAACCATGATCTCTTAGTCTTAGAGGAAGGCCATAACAAATCTCCTGAGCAAATCCTGTCAAGGAAACACTAAGATAGGGTTATCCTACTGGAGACAGTGTAATGCTGTGGTTCAAGTGTTGGACTAGAAATCTGAATTTTGTTGTTGTTTGTTTCCAACTTATTATAACCCTAAGGTTAACCTATCACATGGTTTTCTGGGGCTGAGAGTATGTGACTTGATCAAGTTCACCCAGTGGGTTTCCATGGCTGAGCGGGGAATCGAACCCGGATCTCCAAAATTATAGTCCAGTGCTCAAACCACTACACCAAGCTGATTCTCTAGAAATCTGAAATACCAGGGTTGAAATCCATATTCTACCATAGAAACCCACTGAACAACCTTGGGCAAGTCACAAGATAGCATATGCTCAAAGACTCTCTCCCCCCAAACAATCAGCCATCTAAGGACTGCTGAAACAAAAGGTATTCACCTGCGTATGAAGGGCTAGTAGGAAGGGCAGTGCTCTAACCTATCTAGCAAGGAAATTCCAGAACCTTGAAGCTGCCACCAAGAAGGCCCTCTCCTGTGTTCTCACCAGATGTACCTGTGAGGATGGGACAGAAAAAAGGCCCTTCCCAGAAGATCTCAAGACCTCATATGGTAAGTTCTGAATCCAAAGAAGGAGGAGGATGACAAGGAGGGGAGGAGAAGGAATCATAGATTCATAGAGTTGGGCCATTGGCCATTGAGTCAACTCCCCATTTGATGGAGGAAATCCAGCTAGAGCATCCCCAGCAGGGAGCTATCCAGGTTCTTTTTGAAGATGTCCAGAGAAGGAGAGCCCACTGCCTCTCTAGGCAATTGGTCCCATTGATTCCATTCTCAAGAAGTTGCTTGTAATGTTTAATCAAATCTGGATGACCCTTGTGGTCTCTTCCAACTCTATGATTCTATTCTACTCTCCTGTAACTTAAAACCATTAGACCTGGTCCTCCGCTCTGGGGCAACAGAGAACAAACCTGCCCTCTCATGTCTCTGTGACAAGTCCTTTAAATATTTAAAGAGTGTAATCATATCAAGCCATCAAACTTCTCTTCATCAGAGTCAACAGGCCCAATTCTATCAAGAGGAGGAGGAGGAATATCGGGGTGAGGAAGAAGAGAATATTTTTTGTACAACCTGCACAGATTGCCCTGGAACTAAGAATGCATTTTGGTACATTTATCTGTTTGCATGACCTCTTGGACATCTGCACTGTCCTTTTGCACAGTAGATGCCAGAACGGCATGAAAGGTATTTCTTCAATCTTGTGACGACAACTGAGCAGGGGTTTTGAAGGACACGTATTAAGTCTCTCGGTGATACAGCCCCGTCCAAGAATGGAAGGTCAGGTGGTTTGACTCTTCCCAGAAGCCCTTGAACAATGCAATTATTCAGGAAGGAAATTTCAAATTATTTTCATTAGACTTCTGTTTTTCCAATCTAACCAATGTGATTAATTAGGGATTAAAATATTTACACTACACATGCTGCCTTGGCACAGCGCTAGAATATTTAAGCGCTCTTCTAAAAGGGTCAGCTATTTTTCCAGGCCTTCTGTTTGGGGGGGGGGGGAAGGAGCCATTAATTTCTATGAGGTGAAAGGAGGCACTTGTGGATGCATATATAAACTGAGCTTTAGAAGAATCTTGTGTGCATGTGTGTGTGCACACACACACACACACACATCACCATTTACCATTGCTCAGCTCTGGAAGATAATAAAAATGCATATCCATTTCTACATGAAGAAGACCATTGAAGTTAAGTCCACCACTCTTTAAAACATGTCATATCACCACACTTGTCCAACATGGCACTTCACCATAACCACAAGCAGAAGGAAACACCACATTTAGAAAGGATTTTGGAAGCTGTGTCGAAGAGAAGCCATCTTTCCGTCATCTCATTGTAGCTATGAAAGTATATGAAATGTTGAACCACAACACAGAGATTTAAAAAAATTCTACCCAAGGGGAAAAAAGAACACTGAAGATTACAGAGCAAAGCAGTCCTGTGCTCTAATCATTTTTTGTTAAGTGCCATCAAGTCAACTTTGACTTATC